CCTGGAGCGGGTACCGCCCTGGAGGCCGTCTGTCCCGTGTAAGCCTGTCCGTAGAGGCCTCTCCTCGCTCCGCGCTCCAACGCAATAGGCAAACCATGACAGGCATGCAATTTTAGTGTAACTCTTCTGACATGACAGTCTTTAAAGTCCCCATACTTTTGATTAACAATTTGCAAAACTCAGAATAATTCATAAATCTTGGCAAGAAGCCTCGAACCGTAGTAAGTAACCTGGCTCGCTGTCAGTTTATTGATACTGCTGACAGTTGTTGAGCAGCTGAAAGTTCTGAAAGTCATTGATTTCAAATAATTATGCTCAACTTTGAGCTTGAATCATCAAACCTATTCAGGAACTGAGGGTTGTTTCATCATTAAGGGTTATTTCGACATCCGAAGGTTACTTCATTGTTTTAAAAAATTAAGCTCACCCATTTTTTTTCTTGACAAATGCAACGAGAACAAAAACACCTCAATGACATGGAAAAAAAGACTCTTAGCCAAGGTTTTTCTTTGAAACTAATAGAATCAGAACAAAACAATTTAAAGCTTGTATTGTTTTTTTTTTCATAGTTTGTTCTCTGAAAAGGGTTCATCGCTTTATCCCAATTTCACCTTAATTTGTCATGCGCGTGTGGTACTTGTCTTAGTATGTCTGCTAAAGCTGCCTAGGGCACAAATGTTCCACTCAAAATTATGCATAAGAAGTGTGTTAAAGGTTAAAGGTCTTTCCAAAGTCTTTAATGGGAAATCTAATGTGACGGTGTGCATCCAGCTGTGGGCATAGGGTAAATATGAAGGGCAACGCTAAATCAGTCTATCACATGAACTGTTGTGCATCACTGGCTGATGTCAACATGAACGATCTCTCACATACTCATCAATTCACTATCAAGAATTGGTCAGTTGGCTATGAGAATGGCCTTGTTCTCTCACATCATGTCTAAGAAGTAAACCAACATGGGGATTTAATATTGATTCAGTCTATTTTAGTGATGATGTGTGCATGTGAGTGTGAGACTGAGATTAGACTGGAGCATTGCCTTCAGCCGTAGCTAATGTGAGATACATACATAAACACAAAAGGCAGTTAGGGAGGCAGCAGAGATATTTCATAATTGGAGAAAGAAGTTACAAATGGCAAGCGATAAAACAGAAACTAATTAATGAGAGTAACCGACACACATTTCAATGAGTAACATCATCATCTGTCCTATAAAGAGCAAAAATAACTCCAATAAACAGACGCTCACATACAAATAAGTATTATTAAAAGTAATATATCAGCTGTTTTATTTCTAGTCCCTCACCCCCATATGGTTATTAAATATATATTTTTTAAAGTTATATTAAAACTGTAAAACACACTGACTCTTTTTAAAAGTGTAAACAGCTCATCTATATGCACACCAAATAGATAACACACTAAAATGTAAAACCTAATTGTTTAAACGATTACAATTATTTAATGTATGAGTAAAATCAAATTTGAGTGTGCTTTTTCCACATTAAATTAAATTAATGATGAAGAAAATAGAAGACAAGCTTATTTCAAGAGTAGAAATGACAGAATTTACTGTAAATGGATGAAAATAAAGATTTTATAACACAATGTGACAAAAAATTGGTTTCACTTTTTTATGGCTCTTCTATAATTCTATGGTGCTTATTATTATCGTACTATTTATTTTCAGGTAGCATCAGTATTTTGGTAAATATTTAGGTTGGGTAATGTTTAGAACTTCTATCAGTAATTATGAAATATGAATTGGTTTAATACAGATTCGTTTTTTTGTGCAAACTTGCATGTTTTTTAAAAGGTATTTTGCTTTTGCAAGGATGGCAACATTCTAGAAGTTTCTGTAATATTAATATTCTGTAATATTCTAGTGCTTTCTGGAACATTCCAGAACATTGTGGGACTAGTCATAAAATACAAAAATCATCCAGTCTAAACTTCTAGATGACTCAGTTTTGGTAACTGCTTATGTTAAAGTATTATGCATTTACCATGCATTTTTTTAATATGAGTTTTATGCTTGAGTAATTACAGATTGTAGAATTATGGAAAAGTTTATGTGATTTTCGTATTCAGCATGTTAAACTTCATAAAGAAACATTAAAAATAAAAGCAAAACAAAACCTTTATAAATGGTGTATGATGACAAAATGTGTATTACAATATAATATAATATACAATGTTTAAGCAACAAGAAACTGTGCAATAATATGAATATAGCAATGTCTAAAGGGGACCCCTTCAGCCATGACTGTATTCCTTCTGCTGGAAGATGACGGCTGCGTCTGAAACCTCAGGCAGCTGCCTTGCTGCCTCACTGCCTTGTCAGTCAATGACTAAACAGACAGCATCTCTGTATGAAAGTACCTCTTAAGTAAACAGCTTTCAGACAGGCTTCCAAGGCACCATAACATCCTGTCTAATGATCTTGAACAAATTCAAATGAGCTTTAGAGATAATGGAGCAAATATTTGTTGTCTACAATGCTTTTTTTTCTGGTAGATCCAGATTTGGATATACCTTGCTGCCTTCTTACCAGTGTCATTTTAGTATTATTATATTATTATAGTTTTCATAAATATGCTGAAGTAGATTTCATTTTATATTGTTGTCATTTTAAAATATTTACGTAAAATATTTATATTTTTATTTCAATTTTAGTTTTTGTTTCGTTTCAGTTTTTATTTATTTCCACCATGCTATTTATTTATATTTTATTTCAGCTTTTGTTTCCGTTAACATTTTTTTTTTTTTTTTTTTACTGTTTTAGTGTTTTAACTGTTTTAGCAGTAATAACCCTGCTTCTTACCTCACTGAATAAAAATGATTAATTGAATTTACAAAAAAAATTTAAGGTAAGTGGTTGCAATCAATTTATTTTAGCTACATTTAAATAAACAAATTTAGGTGACTAACTTTCAACAAAATGTGTTTATTTAAATGTAGCTGAAATAAATTGATTGCAACCACTTACCTTAAACAAATTGAGCAAATTCAATTAATCATTTTTTTTCATGCAAAGGCAGCATTTTTCAGTTTACATAATTAATAAAAAATGGACACAATAAATTGCCCTAGTTACTATTGAAATTGCATTTAGTTATGAAAATAGCATCTGTCCTATTATAAAATATGAAATTCCTTTGTCTCTGGATCTCAGAAGAGCCCCTTCGTTTGATGTGCCACTTATATTGTTTGGGAGGTTTTGAAAACATTACTTTTAGGGGATATTTAATCAGCTGATTTCCTTATCCAGCAACCAAAGAGCAAATCAAGCCTGTTTACCATTACCCTCATAGCTTATTTTCATTATATGAACATGCAAACTCACAGGATTTTGGGAAATAATAGAGTTTATGATGCGTTTGAGCTTTACATTTGAAAGGAGCTGAGGAATGTATGACTCCATCTGACCTTTGTGGCTCTAATTAGAGGTCCGGAAGATAACTAATGATCAAATACTCCGTTTTACTTTTGTGTCTTATTTACAGTCTTCTCCCTTGTATTACAAACTGTTCTCACTCCCGAGGTACCAAACACAGCATTAGGGCAAAGAGCTCTGAATGTCAAAATGTAGACATGCCCCTTAGCGTCTTTAGAGTCACGCAGGTTTGTTTTCAGTGAAAAACCTTTGCCTTTATTACACTGACGCAAAGGGCATCAAAACGAATTTTTAATTTTGGATTCAGCAATATTAATTAGTTTGCAGTGATTAATATTTGAATATGTTGTCTTCTCAAGGAGCTCTGCTCTATTGAAGTGTTGTGTTTTGTTAGCGTTTTCTTTTTTAGTTGGATGACTAAAACATGAACTTTATCAACATCAACCTTCATCACAGCAGTCACTCTTAAACTTCAATCCACGCTCAAGGCACTACACTGTCCCTGACAAAACATGACACCCCAGTGGAGCAGAAGTACAAAAACATCAGCTTAAAACAGCAACCGTAAAGCCTTAGTTAAAACAGAAACCGATATCCCAAAGTATCACTACTTTTTCAATTACATACAGCTTTATACTGTACAGCTAATCATTTAAATTTATAAGCACGATATTGTGAGAAATTAAAGGAATACTTCACCCAAGAAAATTAAATTAAACTCACCCTCAGGTCAGCCAAGATGAGTTAGGTGAGATGAGTAGATAAGTTTGTTTCTTCATTAAAACAGATTTGAAGAAATTTAGCGTTACATCACTTGCTCTCAAATGAATCCTTTGCAGTTGAATAGGTGCCGTCAGAATGAGAGTCCAAACAGCTGATAAAAACATCACAATAATCCACAAGTAATCCACAACACTCCAGTCCATCAAGTGAAAAGCTGCATTTTTGTAAGAAACGAATCCATCATTGTGGCATTTTAACTTTATTGTCACTGCTGGCCAAAATACTAGTCCATAATCTATAATAATGCTACCTCCAGTCACATCAAAACAAATGTCATCACTGACATATTTGCTTTAGATTGTTTTTGCTTGTAAACAGTGCCTGATCTGTGGATATATAATTTCCTGATTCTGACGAGACGACCTTTTCAGTGGAGAACTCATATTTTAGCTGGAAGCAATGGTTTGAGGTTAAAAGCACCTTAATGACAAATTGTTTATTACAAAAACACATCTTTTTTTACTTCATAAGATGTTAATTGATAGACTGGAGTTGCGTGGATTAATTATTGTGATGTTTATATCAGCTGTTTGGACTCTCTGTCTGACGGCACCCATTCACTGCAGAGGATCCATTGGTGAGCAAGTGATATAATGCTAAATTTCTCCAAATCTGTTTTGATAAAGAAACAAACTCATTTACATCTAGGATGACCTGAGGATGAATACATTTCCAGCAAAAAAATAAATAAATTGGGGATGAATTATTCATTTCATGAAAATATAAAAATTGAAAATATGAAAGTGTCAGTATTTAACACCTTGGGAGTAAGAAACCTGTTGTATATGTGAGCGCAGTCTGTGCAGCATGTGTGTATTACCTGAGTAAAACGCCAGTGGAGCTTCATGCGTTTAGCCACAGCATAGCTGCACTCAATGAGACGTGGCCGGCCGTTCACATCCACCAGGCACTTGTTGTCATCATCGTCAATGGTGGGGCTCAAGACGCCCACGAATAACTGCTGAGTGCTGGTGTAGTATACATTCTGCAATGACAGAGCAGACTCATGAATAAAACCAGGCTTCAGAGTAAGCTTGTGAAAGAGAGCAAGTCTGGCAGCATTTTACGTTTATAAGCTACTGAAGAAGATTACAAGGACAGGCAATTGAACCGTTCAATATGATAAATGTCTATATCTCATGTTATGAGACATCTCCATGCAGCAGACCATGAAAACACACAAGCTAAAGGTGTGATTTCAAATCAACTCAAGATGGAGGGCACATTTTAGTGCTTTCAAACATATTATGAAGCATTCTGGTGCACTCTGAAAGTAAAGGAAAAAAAGGCAGCACACAAAATAATAGTGCACATAAAGAATGGCTCAGATAAGAAAGGGATAAATAAATAAAAAAATAAAAACAGTACATGAAAAAAATATTAACTATTCTAACAAATTATTAACTATTATTATTTTTTCCTAAATCCTTGCATATATAAGTTATCTTTGTGTGCTCTACTATAGGACACTTTTGTCAGATTTTATTTTCTTTAATAAGTGTACACAGCATTTTAATAATTCAGATTTTCTCACTTCACACACAATTTGCAAAGCATTTATTTGATATGTTAATTTTTTTTATATATGTTTCACATCTGGCTGCTCTAAATAAGTTCATTCATTCTTGAATAAGGTTTGGGGATATGCTAATAAACCTATCTTCAAGTGACCGGATGCCTTTTTTTTTTGCCATACTAGTATAATTCTCTTTGTTGACTAAGCAATGTATTATTCATGGTATACAAGTGAGAGCTAGCATAATGCATTACACATACTCATACCGAACCTTAGTGCATTAACACTTTAGAACAGATGGTCAAATGTAGCCTCTACCAAAAGTGTCTATACTTTTGCAGAGAAAACACACCTTTATTAGCACTGTATTGAAGGGGTCATATCATACATACTGTATTTATCAGTGTATTTATTCCATGTGGTCCACTTATAACGTTAGTCCAGATCTATGCAGCCAAAAAAGTCATAATATGATTTTTTATGACCATCTTCCACCGTCTGTCTGACCCTTAGAAATAAACAGACTATTTTTGCAACTAGGTGCATTGTTAATACGTGATTCTGCCTACAACTGTTTTACTGCCTCTGGTGTTCATTTTGGCTGAAAACTGCAAACATATACCTATACATACATTTCATTGTGGTTTTCAGTCAACATGAACACTAAAGGGAGTAAAACAGCAACAACTTTTAACACAAATTATAATAACGGGGCAAATTATCAATAAATAAAGACTTATTTTTGCACAATTATTTGCACAATGCTATGTTATGACCTCGAAACACTTTTACCATGCATGGTTTGTAAACTAATACATTTTGATGTTTGCATCACATAACCAGCTGTATATGTATGGCTCTTCTGTTATAGTAAACTTGCTCAGTAGTGCACCTGGTATAGCAATGCACTTGTGATGTGGAGAACTTGTGCACGAGTCCAGTGAAACACGAATCATGACTCTTAACAAAAGACCTCAAAGAATCGTAAAAAGAAGCTAAAATTTTATGGTTGCTCAAAATAAAAGTTTTTGTTTACATAATATATGTATGTGTACTGTGTATATTTATTATGTATATATAAATACAAACACATGCATGTATATATTTAAGAAAAATATGTTATGTTTATATATTAAATATATTTATATATAATATAAAATATAAGAATATAAATATTTAAATGTGTATACATGTAAATAATTTCAAAATATATACTGTATGTGTGTGTGTGTGTGTGTGTATTTATATATACATAATAAATATACACAGTACACATACATATATTATGTAAACAAAAACTCTTATTTTGGATGCGATTAATCGCGATTAATCGTTTGACAGCACTAGTTTTTATCTCACTTTCGGTTAGGGTCTGGTGTAGAGGCACCATTCACCATATTAATTTGCTGTGATGCGTACAAAAAAAAATATATATATATATTACCACAGTCACGTATAACTGTTTCTGAGATAATTTATCTCAATATTTAGCACCAGTCACTGGGCATTTCACTTTAAAAGTGCAATGAAATGTGAACTAATGGGATGGTTGCAGGATTTGATGTTACAGGAAATGACTATTGTGCCACGGAGGGCATGCCAAACCTGTCAAAGGTTCAAAAAGAAGCACTGTTAATTGTGTTGTTGATGCAATTTCCTGTGATGGAAGAAGTGTCAATGTGTGAGCCAGAAACACCAGCAGCATCTGTCTTAAGAATCACCGGCAGTCACTCCAGATGGCCTGCAGGAGCTCAAACCTTCAATGACATGTAGGATGAAGAGACTTGGAAGCCGTTAGTGTGTGTAGTGCATGTTTCTGTGTGACTGAACGTGTGTAGAGAGAAGGTGAGCATAAGGGGAGCAGCCAAGGGGCTAAGGAACATCTGGCAGACATGTCAGGCTCGTCTCTCCAGAGCCACTCTGGCCGAGGCAAATCGCTGTTTAAGTCACAAACTTAACATTGCTTGTTGTCTCATGCATAAAAAAGTATTCACCCATGAATTAATTCTTCAAATGTGTCATTATAATGGAAGCTCTGAAGCGAAAATGCTGTAGAAAAGTGTGGAGCGCTCCATTTGTTGCTCCTTAAGTTTGTAGAGAACACTGAGCAGCGGATTGTAATGCAGGTGCATTTTTCTCCTGAAGGATTTTCTCTTGTTTAAAGTTCAGAGAGTCCTCTGGCAAGCTGTAGTTTCAAAAGATAATATTACCAAAGTGTTGTAACTTAAAACTCTTTCTCTTGACGTTATTTGGGTTGAGAACAAGACTTCAGGCTTTTAGACTAGTCTCAGGGTGATACTACAAATTATTCTACTCATATAAAGGTAAAAATAATTGAATACAAAGAAAATAGGTTAATGGTATGGTGATGAGTTACTGATTTAAAATAAACCTGCTCATAAAGGGGGAAAAGGTCTGTAAAGTCAACATGGAATCAAAATGAACATTTTCACTTTCTTAAAATGGTACATGTTCCTGGACAGTATTATACAAATCTTTAGTTATTAAAAAAAAATTATTGTAATTATCATGCTGGTTGGAACTGTTAATAGAACAGCACCTCAAAGGGAAACCACACCAACCACCTCATGTCCTAATGATAACTTACATTCTCAGTCCACCATGTCAGATGTAAGTGCTGCATTATTGTAGTAAAAATCATCATTTATGACTCTTTCCTTTGTAACTGCAATTATTAATTTTGATGAACAGAATTTACATTCAATATATTTTTATATTTCTGTGGTGTTTTGATGTTCATTCCATTTACGATCAAATAGAGCTGTCACATAGTATTTGGAGTCTTGATCTTGTGGTCTTGAGACTTCTTATGATCACATAAACCTGGCCCTGGCCTGGTCTTGGTCTGGACCGAGGTCCTGACTGTCACTGCAGAATAAAGCTTTTGTGTCTACGGCACTGTACCATCTTTTGTGTTCTATTTATGTGTTCTATTATGAATGTTAAACAAAACCATACAGTTCAGAGACTCGCTTCTTAAAAGAATTTAATTTTTTCTTCTTAAAAGTCTATTTTAATGACCTAAAGAACCTTCTTCCACTGTAAAGAACCTTTTGTGAAATGGAAACGTTCCATGGATGTTAAAGGTTCTTCATTAGAACCATCAATGCTAATAAAGACCTTTTATTTTTTATAGGCAAGTTAAATACCTCTTGCCATTTATGTACTCAACAGATGTCTGTGACTGGTTACTTGCTCAATCTCTGCAAAAAAACAAACACTGATACAACATTTTTGAGTCAGCAGAAGTAGAACTAAATGCAATGCTGTACATATTTCACATTCCATTAATCACGGAAGCCATATTCATAATCTCAATTATTATTTCAGTTAATTGTCAAGCAAATGCCTGTGTCAAAAATGACAGCAGGTTGCAGTAGCTGTCACCTAGCACTGCTGTTTCACAAATCTTTCCTGAACGGTGTGCTATTCTCAGAACGGAGGGAGCGAATGGTCTGAACTAATCTCCTTGGGAACAGTTCTGTCTCGCCATATTTTACATGTTCAGTAGTGTGTTCATGTGTGCACAGGTTTGAGACGTTTGCCAAGAACTTCCTGATTTTGTATGAGATCCATTGTCAAAAAAAACCCATCCCTGCTGTTCAGAAGGAAAAAACAAGTCTGCCTGCACTGCATTTTGCACATACTTCAAATGTTAAGAAAAGTAACACCTTTGGAGAGAACCAGATGCTGTTTTCTAAAGAACATTGAGATGTTAGATATGGAAATACGTTGTTGTTGTTGTTGTTGAGGGGCCATCGTATCTCTGTCATTAGCATCAAAAGTGTCTTTAGATATTTTATTTTGTATCCTTAAGATGAAATATGCTCATGTGGGCACATTTTTGTGAAATCCCCCTCAAAAGCACTGCTATGAGCCGAGTCCTGATTATAAACTCCACAGGGGCCTTCTGACAGGTAAGACTAAGCCAATCTGGATGTGACAGGAGCAGAACGAAAACCGAGAGAGAGAGAGAGAGAGAGAGAGAAAGAATATGACTATTATTGCCTACAAATCATCAACCTAGCACAAATAGCATATTCCACACATCAACAAAGTGTGATATGCTATTATTCATCCTATACAATGTTCTGTCAGCAATTCAGACTTCTAATTTGATTTCTTTCATAGACTAATAAAAAATTTTTTTATTTTTTGCCTTTTTTTTTTTTTTACAAGTCCCTTGACATTTGTCACTATTTTCTTTTCAACCCGAAATTGATTTTATGTTTCCTCCTCAGACAAACTGTCATTTTTGCCTGGCCTTGGTAAAAATTCCAGATCTTCTTCCTCTAGTTTTGTTATATTTTGAACTTATACATATGCAGAAGTCTCGGCTTTTCACAATCAATAAAACAATAAAAATTGTCCCGAGTATAAAATGTACACTTGTATTGTAAATCTGGATTTATAACTAAAATTAAATCATTGACAATGCTGTAATCAGA